CAGGGTTCAGGGTTCAGGGTTTAGGGTTTAGGGTTTAGGGTTCATTTAAGTCTCGGGCCTCTAGGATCGTACACTGCCTACGGGCCTGTAGTTTCAACTCCAGAGCTCCACCTATTGTGAACCCTCAAATCTGTCAAGCAGCGTTCTCCTCCTAGACACGCTGCACCATGATGGGATCCTATACTAGGGTTTACAGCTTCGTGGTTACCACTTGGTGATCCTGAGCCCAAACCCTAAACCCTGAACCCCAAACCCTAAACCCTGAACCCGAAACCCTGAAGCCTAAACCCTAAATCCTAAACTCTCTTAGACTTGAAGGCTTAGGAGCCCGTGGAGGTCTTCAGGGCTCCAGAGTCGCTGGTTGAGGCCCCCTAAGCCCCAAGTTCCAGGTTAAGCTGCCGTGGCTTAGAGCTTTTTCCAGGGGTTTTCGGCTTCAGCTCAAGAGCATGTACGCACTGCATGTCGCTCCGGCAAGGTGTACGGACCTGTCCTGATACAGGATTTGGCTGTGTAGACAGCACTATGCCAGACGGTAAGACTCCAGAGGCTGTATTTGGTCAGTTGCTGCTTGAGAACACTTATCGAGGCTATGCCAGGGGGCGTCCTGCTTGAGCGGTCTTGAGCGATGAAAACTTACGTAGCCCACAGTGGGACTTTAAACTTTTTTTTGGGTTTCCTGATTTAGTAGGAATACTATAAGATTAAAGTTTGCCCCTTTTTCTCATTGGCTATTGGAGAAACAAGAAAATGAGCCCTTCTACTGAAAGTGCAAGGCTATGCTGCTTCTCGTCTTCGGCATCGTGCTGTCCTTTGCTACATGGCGGAATGGGAGTTGTGCCGCCCTACATGGGCAAATAGTGGCCTTATCGTGGGGTTTTGGGGGTTAGTCTAATGTACTTAGATAGGGACCATAAGGGAATAATTCCGACCCCTATAGCACAAGGATCTTGAGTAGCTTCAGTTGTGCGTCACGGCTTGAACCCTCAAGCCTAAACCCCTTGAAGCCTTATAGCCTTCGACCCTCGGGAGCCTGCATATCTACAGTTTCTTAGAGCCCAACTCAGATCTGATCTTCGAAGAACCCTTTGGGTAGCTGGCAGTAAGATTCCCTGAGAATACCAAGTTCAGGGTCTGAGGTTACGCCCCCCAACCCTGAAAATCGGACCCCAAATCTTTTCGGGTCCTGACTCAAGCACAAACGACTCCACCCTAAGCCCTCAACCCTCAACCCTAAACCCTTGCGATCATTAGGGCGTCCTGGGGCCTTGCCCTCACTGAAAAGATGAAGCTTGGGTTCAGGGTCTGGGCGTGGAAGTGTCCCAGTGATGCCCGGGTTTTGGGTTAGGGTTCGGGGTTTAGGGTTTGGCGTTTAGGGTTTAGGGTTTCGGGAGTTGGGCTCTGAAGTGTCGCCAGCAAGCCCCCTGAACCCTAACCTTAAACGGCTGAAGCCCGCACTTTGCACTCCATACACACCGGCTCAACTCGTGAACTCTGCGTTCTACAGGGCGCCGTCGGTGCGGAATCATGTTGTGACATTTGGCCTATACCTGAATTGCTCAACATCCCCCCGAAATCCCCGAGCCCTGTCCCCCCGCCTCCCCCTCCACGTCCCCCGCACCTTCAAAAAGAACACTGCAGTGAACGCAATTTTTCTTGAGGTCTTCTTCTTCGTGTTGCCCTTTCGGAAGTTTACCTCCGCAGCGCCGTCGAGTGCCCCGGCCGCAGGCTGCCAGGTATTCGTCTTGGACAGTTGCGGTTCAGAGATATGAGTTTTATGGTATAGGTGGTTTGTACATGTGTACAGCCGACAGATTAGGAGGTAAGAACGTTTCAACTTAGTTTGAGTTTTCAAGTGCAAACCACGACCGCGGGAGCTTCGACTTGGCACCCTCTCCCCTGGCCCTGCACGTCTGCAAGTCACCCTAAACCCTAACCCCTAAACCCTAAACCCTAAACCCTAAACCCTAAACCCTAAACCCTAGACCCTAGACCCTAGACCCTAAACCCCCCCCCCCCCCCCCCCCCCCCCCCAGAATCATACAATCCCAGAATGGCTGGGCCGGCTTCTCTGGCGCAGCTTGCGGCGGCCAAAGCTGATCAGCAGGGAGAAGGCCACGACACCTCAGCACTTAACATAGGGGCTGCCGAAATCCCCCCCAAAACTAGGTCTTCCATCCCTTCCCGTCAAGACTCAGGGGTCCCTTCAACCCCCCACACCCTGAAGGCCTTGAACACTCAACAGCCCTCAAATCCCGATGTTTTTTAACGTGCGCAGGAAATTCGGTGGCCCACGTCGCTGTGGCCACTCTCCGGCTTGGCAATCACCTTTGGGGCTTCGGGCTCAGACTGGCTCGGGGTACAGACGAACTGTCAGGGGAAGGGAGCACTCACACTCCCCAAACTCAACAACGTCATAAACACTATACAGTCCTCCGAACTTGACGACGCGCCTCCCAAAACCGAAGAAGCAGTGGGTCTTAGGTCGTCCCTGAACCCTATGGCCTCCTAAACCCTTCACACCCTATCAATGGCCCCCGAAACCGTAAATCCTAAACCCTGAACCCCAATCTCACTATGCCCTTCACACGCTTGAAGATATGGACCGACCTCGTGGTCGAAGTGGAAGATTGCTCAGGACAGTTTTGGGGTGTAGGGTTTAGGGTTTAGGGTTTAAGGTTTAGGGTTTACGGTTTAGGGTTTAGGGTGTAGGGTTTAGGGTTTAGGGTGTAGGGTTTAGGGTTTAGGGTTTAGAGTTGGACTCTGGCTCCACAAGGGACTTGCAGTCGATTATCGTGGAGGCATACCCTCATACCAAAATCCTGTACGTTGGGGGTTCCAAGCTGGCAAATCCTGAGCCCCGAACCTTAGGGATACCTGGGAGTACTTTTTCTAATTGCTTGGGTACTCTAATTATTATTTTTTGCTAGTATATGGGAACCCTGAAGCCTTACCGTGGTGGCAGTTGGAGAGCCCTAGGCCCAGGTCTTTCGCTACCCGCTACATGTTTCTTCAAAGGGGCTTAGAGAGTTATGACAAAACAGCCTTTGACCTTGGAATTTTGCTGCAACTAGCAACAGCCGAGAGCAGAAGCCCTGGTCACGGTCGTTGAGGCGTACAAATCCCAGCTGCAATGAGGGAAGGGGGGGGGGAGGGGGGGAGGAATCCAAAACCCCAAACCCGAAACCCTAAACTCATTTTAAACTCCCCAAAACCCTGGAGTCGCAGGACGCCTTGAGTTGATGGAAGGAGCCCCACGCGAGGCAGGGCGAAGGGCGTTGTTTGAGGGTCTTGGGGGTAGGAGTCTTAGGGCGACCAGTTTTTAACCCTAAACCCTAAACCCTAGATTTTGTCCTCGTTGTGTTTGGCTCTGGCACTTCCTGTGTCAAGGATGGCCTTTGGTCCCCTCGGCATGGATTCCACCCTTTAGCCGATCTACTTCTACAGCCCTAGCACCCAGACTAGGCCCTGATTCCCTTCTTTTTGGGGTTTAGGTTCCCTTCTAAGCCCCTTTAAAACAAAAAGGGTACCCTCTTTATTCCTCGTTACATCCTGTATCTTGGCGAGTTTTCAAGACAATCGTCCTCCCGCCCATACCAACTTCCGCAACAAGGTTGCAAGTCCCTTTCAAGGTTGCAAGTCCCGCTACACAAGTGTCATGATCTCGGAACGATACCCGCACTTGCTTAGGGTGGAAACCCTAAACCCTGATGCCTGAGCCCTAAACCCTAAACCCTAAACCCTAAACCCTAAACCCTAAACCCTAAACCCTAAACCCTAAACCCTAAACCCTAAACCCCCTGCAAACCATTGGCTTGGGCAGGAAGATCGGCTTCGCCAGGCCGATGAGAGCGAGGTTGCCAAGGGTGCGAACTTCAACTTAGCGCCTCGGACAGCATTGCAGGGGTTTAGGGTTTAGGGTTTAGGGTTTAGGGTTTAGGGTTTAGGGTTTAGGGTTTAGGGTTTAGGGTTTAGGGTTTAGGGTTTAGGTTTGAGTATCGATGTTTGATATTTTTATTATGCGGAATATCCTGTATGATCCGTATCAGCTCTGACAATGTAGTTTTCATAAGGGCCCCAAGCCTACCCCAGATTGGGCTGAGAGGTTGGGCCGACAGGTTGAGAGTCTAGGCTAGGCGATGAAGAGCTCAGGGTTTTGGGGTTTTGAGAGTCCCCGAAGCCCAATGCACCCAATCCATTGAGCCTCAACAAGAAGCCCACCTCCAAGTCGCGTATAAGCCTGCGAACCCCAATCTCTCGACATCCTCACACACACACACACACACCTCGGGGGGCCAAATCAAAACAAGTCTCAAACACCCAAGCCCAAAACCCTGAACACCTCAAATCCCAAGATTTGCAAACCCAAAGCCCCAAGCTCTAAACCCTGATGCCGCACACAAAGCCTATGTTCTGAAGCCCAAAACCCTATGGGAGTTCGGGTTTATGTTACGCTGTTTGCTGAATGCGTCTATAGGGGGTGTTCTTTTGGGATACTCGTATTAAAATCCTGCGTTCCTGGTTTCTTACACGGGACCTTATTGAGCGGGTCTGTCTATGTACACAGGGGGTCCGTCTATTCCTACCTACTATACAAACCCTAAACTCAGAAAACCTAAAACCCTACACCCGTATAATAAACCCTAAACTCAAGGCCTAGGCCGCCGGGCCTAGACTCGGGGGGGGGGGGGGGGGGGGGGGCGCGGCGCTTAGACCCTGAACCCTGAATCCTAAACCCGGAAACCCTAAAACCCTAATCCTTGAAATCCGAAACCCTAAACCTAAAACCCTCAACCCTAAAACCCTAAATCCTGAATCGACCCTGAACCCTTGATTCATGTCAATATTCGTATATATATATATATTAAATTAAAGTAAAGTAAATGCAATTACATTATATTATACTGTATGATATTATTTTTATTTATTACTATATATTGTAAATATATTTATTATATATATATAGATGTATCACATGTTAATATCAGGTGTCCTGGAAAGCCATGTCGGAAGCCTCTTGGCGCCTTATGGCTCTCGCCTGGCTGCCGATCCCGGCCTCTCGCCTTTTACAGTTTAAGGGTTTAAGGTTTCGGGGTTCAGGGTTTAGGGTTTAGGGTTTAGGGCTAGGGTTAGGGTTTAGGTTTAGGGTTTAGGGTTTAGAGTTTAGGGGTTAGGGTTTAGGGTTTAGGGTTTATATAGGGTTTAGGGTTTAGGGTTTGGGGTTCAGGGATGTGAGGTTTTGGGTGTCAGGGCTTGGGGCATTAGGCTTTTGGGGAAAGTGGAGTAGGGCGTTTATCACGGTAGCGGTCGGCTTAGTTGCGGCTGTGTTTATTTCGTGTTTTCTGCAAGGTTCTGCAATATGGGGGGGTTCAGGGTTGGGCTGTGAGAAGGGGGGGGTGGGTGTGAATGTACCGGATAGAATTTCTGTAGGGTTTCAAGCAGGCTCAGAGTCGTTAAGCCTTAGGTCGTCGTAGCGTGCAGGGGCGAGATGTCACGTGTGCCAGAGAGCAATCGAATTTTAACTTACAGCCTGAGCCCTCAACCCTTGACCCTTAAACGCGCACCCCCCCCCCCCCCGCCGCCCAACAAACAAAAGGCAAAAAGGAAACAACGAACAGCCTGCAGTGTCTTTAGGGATCCTCTGATGTTAATGTGCAGCCAGAGTCCCCAAAACCTCAGAGCCCACCGAAGCATCCTCAGACTTGAAGGTGTGAGGGTTTAGGGTTCCTGGGTTTTTTCGGGTTTAGCGTTTAGAATTTTGAAGGTGTTTACCTCATTATCTTGGTTCAGTTCTTTTGAGGTTTTTGAGTTCTCGGTGGTTTGCTGCCTGGGGCTCGACAAAGTTGCACTTGTTTGTGGAGGCGGTGGGGCCTTTCCTTTGCAAAGCCACTGAGTACCTGAACAGGCCAGCAGAGTAGTGATTCGGGACCCGCCGGGGTTCAGGTCACATGTGCTTTCAGATGTTTGCAGACTTGTTTTCACCCGGTTGCAGCCCCAAAGGTTCTAAGCTTAGTTCCCGCAGGGGGCAGCTGGACAAGCAAGACACTGGAGGATAAGAAACTCTTGGTTTTGGCAGTGTGTGCTCCCTTTTCGGGTCCCTGCTGGTGTTTATGTACTTGTATATGTAATATATATATATATATATTATCTTTTCTTTATGGAGAGAGGGTACTTCATAGACATAGGTATACAGGGTACCCCATGAAACGGACCAATATAGAGAGCTGAACGTATGGGATTTGGAAGTGTTACTCTGGATGCCGCAAAGGCCTGTGTGCTGTCGACCGGGATGCAGAGTCTAGAAGTCAGGATGATTGGGGTTTCTAAGGATTCAGGGTTAGTTAGGATGTAGGGTTTAGGGTTTGGGCTTTGATCACCGTTTGCAAAGCAAAGCGTTCCCATCATTGCAGCTAGACATTAGCGGCTAGAGTGACTGCCTCACCAACTTTTTGTGTATAACCAGTGGGAAGCCTCGCGAAAAGCCCCAAACTCCCAACCCTAAAATTCCTAAGCCCCTTCGTAGCCCAGTGGTGCCGCTTTGACCCCTTTTGGGCACCAGGCCCCCTTAGAAAAGCAAGCCAACCCCAAAAAAGGGTACCCTTGTTGACATACGGTTACTGGACCACCAAGACCTACTCTCCTAAAAGCCCGAAGCCTTAAACCCTAAGCAAACCCTAAACCCTAAACCCTGATCCGCCTTCGGCGCCTTTTTGCATGTTGGACCTTCCTCCTTGCGCCAGCCACACGCTCATCGCGGTCGGCCGCGACGGTCCCGAGCTGGCACCAAAGCTGAAGGCCGCGTTGTTGCTTTTAAGGGCTTCGTGTTACGTATCACGATGAGTCTGCATGTATTACTATTCAGTAGTCTACTATACTACTACTACTACTACTACTACTACTACTACTACTACTACTACTACTACTACTACTACTACTACTACTACTACTACTACTACTACTACTACTACTGCTACTACTACTACTACTACTACTATACTACTACTACTACTACTACTACTACTACTACTACTACTACTACTACTACTACTACTACTACTACTACTACTCCGCTGCTTCTGTTCTCACTAATCTTCCTGGTATTTCAGTCTTGCTAGTAGTGCTGGCATTGGTCTACAAACTTCCTTGAGGCCGTACCCCCGGGCTGCCCAAATACTCCAGAATACTCTAAAAACATTCCACGTCACACTGAGCTGACCTTGAATGTACCCCACACCAACACGCCCTGCCATTGCCTGACTGTTTGTCTTACGCAAAAGGGGTTGGGGGAGGGGGGAAGGGTTTATAGCTGGTTGGTCTTTCGGTGTTTGGGGGAGCCGCCACCTTGCACAAACAGGGAAGCAGTGGCCTAAACCCTAAAACCTGAACCCCCACAGGGCTGTGGGCAAACAGCAGGAAGTCCCCAGCGTTTCGTTTGACAGCGTCCACGGTCGCGACGAGAAGTCCCTGCGAGCGCTGCTGCTGCAGGAGACTACCTGTTTTTGCTTTAGGGTTTAGGGTTTGGGGTTTAGGGCTTAGGGTTTACGGTTTAGGGTAATTCAAGGCTTGTAGAGTTACAGGGCTGACAACAAAGCTTAAGCACCGGACTTCGTGGCTTGTGCCCGCTTGCAGGGTTTGGGGCTCTTATGAGGTTCAGTTACGCCAGGACACGGGCGGAGACTCTGGGCTCCTGATTGGGCTCATACTTTATAGGCATCGGGATTAGGGCCCGGGACTTGAAGGCGTTGGGGATTTTGGGATGTTTAGGACGAGGACTCCCTTCTTTTACATTGGGCTTTGCAGCATCAGAATTTCTATGAGCTTGTGTGCCTGAGACGTTTGGGCCGGGCATCGGAGCTTACAAGATCTGGGGGGGGGGGGGGGGGGGTTCCTTGGTTTAAGCCGCAGAATTGAAGCGGGTAATATTTGCAATATAAGGGGGTGTTGGGGTGATGTATGTTTTCGGCAAGCTTGCGTTGCTAGGTCTTGGTGCTTGATGGCTTCTGTCACTGCGCAAAAGGCCTTGCGCAATGAGCTGACCCGGGATCCGAGCACTTTGCAAAGAAATTGAGAACATCCTGACACGTGCAACATGGGACAGCCAAATTCAAGGCTACAGAAGCCGGCGAAGGTTCGAATTCTCTAAGAAACAAGACAACCCCAACCCTAAATGCTGCCAAAAAACGAACCTCTAAAACCCTGCTGGGACCTAGACTTCTTGAGCCTTCGAGGCTCTTCAAAGCCACAAGAATGGAAAATCATAGAATCGGTCTCTTTTTTCCGAATCCTGGGGGGTGCGCCCCACAGACTCAAAATCAGGGCTTTGTGAAAGGCCCTCAACCCCTGGACAGGAGGAAGTGTTTGGGGAAGGGGTTTTGTCGCCTGAGACGGTGTGGAGTATGGCCCTCCACAATCTGGCCATGGCCGCTCTTGGCATTTCACGAAGCTCTCGAACCTGAACTCTAAACCCGAAACACTGCAGAAAGCCTTATTCAGGATTCGCCAATGAGGCTGCAGATTGCCCGTTGGGCGTGCGACTTCGGATTGCCTCTCGGCGTACCAGGGCCGGGGCGTTGAGGTTTGTAAAGGGTTTAGGGTTTCAAGTAGAAAGATTTAGCCCAAGTACTACAGCAAAAGGACCACGGCAGACAACTAAGCTCGAAGGAAGGCCCTACTCAAAGCTCTCATGCAGGCAGGAATCTTCACAAAACGCCTGTAGTGTCCTACTATGGTGTCTGGGTGTAGGGATCAAGGTTGTGAGGGCCGAACCTTGAGCTTGTTTAGAGTTTCAGGCTTCGAAGACCCTAAACCTCAGTACTAAGCCCTAAACCTGTCTAAGGTTAACCCTAAGCCCTAAACCCCAAACCCTAAACCTGAGCCTTCTTCGGTTCCTACCAGGCCCTCACAGGCATGGCTTCGGAGCTTGAAGGCCTCCTTTGGGTTAGGGGTTTGATACGTGATGTGTACTGTGGGCCATGCTGTTGCTTTAGGATTGGTGAAGGGGTCCGGTTGAGGGTTTAGGGTTTAGGGTTTAGGGTTTAGGGTTTAGGGTTTAGGGTTTAGGGTTTAGGGTTTAGGGTTTAGGGTCGGCCAGACCGACGCAAAAGCCCTTAACCGTAAGCCTTGGGAGTCGAACCCCTACAACTGCCAAAAAAACATACAGCGATGCTCGTACCTTTTCAGTAGGGTTTAGGGTTTAGGGTTTAGGGTTTAGGGTTCGTCCCTGCCTCAAGCCAAGACGAGCTGTGAGACAAGTTCAGGCTTGGTATGCTGGTACTCATCCAGCTGGTCCCTGTCTCAGTCAGTCTCGGGGTTCGGGGCTAGGGGCCTAGGGTTTAGGGTGTAATTAGGGTTTAGGGTTTTAGGGTTTAGGGTTTAGGGATTCGGGATAAGACCTGACCCACAAGCCCTACACTTTTTTTCCAAACGCGAGCAGAATTTAGCAACAATGTGTTGAGGCGTGGTGTGCCTCTTTTGGTTGACATCCTGGAACCGATCTAGCCAGTTGTAAGAGAACCACGATTAGGACGAGCATCTACACACACACACACACACACTATGCATCCGACACTATCGATGAACCTGCTCCACTGGTTTGCCTGTGACGAGGGTTGCAACTCTACCCAGACGTAGAGCGCTAAATCGTAAGCCATACCGCTTTCTAAGTCCTGACACATCCCAAACCCCCAAAGCTGCAGTTCCGAATCATGATCTCAACATCAGTCTAAGTTCGAGAACATTTTAAAGGTTATATATACACCCCACCTCTGTAGAACTGCACACCCATACTTTCAGGCCGAAGATGCCAAAGCTTGCAACCTCTAAGTTGGGTTGAGATACCTTGAGCCCTAGTTTCAAGCAACCCCTCACGTCCTAAGGCTTACTTCAGAGCTTTCAAGCAGTCCCAAGTGGACGGGGTGGCAGCTTGCCTGGGCTTAGCCTTGGCTGGCCCCTGAGTACATGAGGTTTAGGGTTGCGGAGGCTTTTTGGGGGGGGGGGGGGGGGGAGTGAGGGGGAGGTCGCTAGGGGCGGCGGGCTTTCGTTTTAACTTTGTGCCGGCTTTCTGCTGCAGCTCGTGACTTCTGTGAGCGACACTGTATCGTTCCCGCACTTGTTGTACCTTCTAGCCATCCTGAGCCAGACTCCCCACAGTGAGGTCATCTCCATCATCCAGGTAGTCGCCGATCTTGTCCTGCAGGCCAGGAGTGGTTTTGGGGTTTGGGGTTTAGGGTTTAGGGTTTAGGGTTTAGGGTTTAGGGTTTAGGGTTTAGGGTTTCGGTCAGGTAAGGAAGGTGAAGGGCAAGGATCTAGGAGGTCCGGCGTGAGGCTTTAGGGGATTTTGGGGGGATTCGGCTGGCGAGCACCAAGAACAAGCGCAGGCGATGAGTAGGTCACTGCACCCTTAACCAACAAGGAAGATAGACCGAATGCGAAGCCGTATATCCCTGAGTCATATCCAACCCTGAGCGGTACTACGCCCTAATCGCATGCAGCCGATCTCAACCCTACTCTAAATCCGCGAACCTGTCTGAATCCTGACCAACTCTGATTCACCAACTGCAGACCCCTTGTATTCAAATCCCAAACCCTTCTCCCTAAATCCCTTAGATAATCCCGCAGCAGGTTCAGGCATACAGAGCTGGGCAGTGCCTCGTTCAGGCGTGCGAGGCTGGGCTTGGCTTGGGATTTAATGTGCAGGGCTTTGGTGCTCTTCGTTCCGTTGTTGAGTTCGTGGCATTGAGCGGCTTATGGGCTGTAGGGGCCTTTGTGGATTCTGACTTTTGGGTTGTTCTTCAGGTTGCTCAGGAAACCTGGCGGATGCAACTTTCATGTCTTTTCGGCCGGCGAGCTTTCGATCACGCCATCTGAGGGCGTCGATGTCGTCCAACACCTTATCCAAAAAAACTTCCTGGGCGTCCCCAGAGAGCCCAACAACTCTCTAGGTCTTGTGGTACCCCTCCCACGCCACCACCCCCTAAGACTCTCTAAGACAATGCCAACTTCAACGGAAAAGTGTAATCTCACAGCCGAGGGGAGTTCAAGAGCAATGGACATTCTGAGATCCCGACGCCCTACACCCCAAGCACGACCAAAGCTTGGACCCTCAAGCCCCACGGACTCGCTCGCAGGAACTGACTAGAGGGTTTGTGGACGAATTGAACGCTTGAGTGTATGAGGATCTTGCCGCATCTACGCAGTCCGTCATGTTTAGAGCCACCTTATGCTGCCTAAACCCGAAGCCCCAAGCCCTCAGTACACAACCTCAAACTTTGGACCCTGAAAAGCCCTAAGCCTAAACTAAATCTTAAGACCCGAGGAGCCCCAAGGAAGGCCTCCCTGTCAGCCTGACAGGCACTCCTGGTGACTGCGCCTTTCTCGCCCAGAGGTGTGACGCCGAAGGAAGCAGATCCGCTGCAGGCCTCTTCTTGCAGCTGTAGCCAGGGTGCAGGAATGAAAGTGGGTTAGGGTTTAGGTTTAGGTGGTTAAGGTTTTGGGACAAGTTAGACGAGCTGCTTTCACAGAGAGAGGAGAGAAAGAGAGATCTACATGTTCATATATGTATGGTGTACAGACAGGTGCTAAGAACGCCTTGAGCATGTCATTGCTGTCCCTTTGTGCCCTCTTTAAAGCGCTCAACCATCGCCTCTGATTCCCCCGTAGCCTTGTATGCAGAATCGGATCAGGGTCTGCAGCCGGGCGACGCGCTGCGGACGCGTGTGGCCTGGAGGCAGCTGAAGCTGCTGACGCTGGGCCCATCTTGGGTTGAGTTTAGGGCTTGGATGAATAATGAGCTTCAGGATTTGGGGGTTTTTTAGAGATTTTAGGCGCCATAGCCCTAAACCACACCTCCTGAGAAACCCTGGGAATGTTTCCCTAAACCCTGGGGCGTTTCTGAAGGTCTCGGCTCCTTGTTTTGGGGACTTTGTAAAGGCTTTCGGCTTTGAGGGTCGAGGGGTTTGGGGTTTCAGTGGTTTGGGGGTTGGGAAGTGCAGCATGGGGCCAGCAAGTCTTGAAACAGGGACTGGTTTGGGGCTGAGGGTTTAGGGAGTAGCTGGTACCCTGAACCCTAACTCCCCCTCAACCCTACACCCACCTAAACCCCAACCCTAAGCCCGTAAACGCAAGAGTGGTTGGGTGAAGAAGCGGGCGCGGCCGCCTCCAACAATCATCATCTTGTCAAGCCTTCCTTGGCATGGGTAGGCCCTTGAAATATTTTGCATTTTCCCTTAGTGGGTGTGAGGGGATGATGTTTAGGAATATTTCCTTCATCGGGTTTGCGAGGATGATCTTTCGGAACGTTTTCCTTCATAGGATTTAAGATGATGATGTTTCAGAATATTTTTTCAGAGGGTTTTCAGGGCCCTCCTAGCTTCTTTTTTCGCTGATCTTCTTTGTATTGCCAAGCCCTGCTGGCTTGACTGCACATGTACATCTGCAAAGACCTACATCATACCCCCTAAACCCTAAACCCTAGACCCAAACCCTCCAAATGCTATGTAACTTTGCTGCACACTTATATAACAAGCATCCGGCAAGTTTTAGACCCTGAAGTCCTTCACAAGCCCTGAACCTCCTACAAAGCCCTCCCTCCTGAAGCCGGAAGCCCTACGACCCCTTGGATAAACGAAGCCCTAAACCCTAAACCCTAAACCCTAAACCCTAAACCCTACACCCTCCATCCTAAAGGTCCAACTTGCAACAAGCCTCTCAGCCCAGGAGCTGGACCTCTGAAGGCCGGCTGCCGGCCACTGCGGCAGCCTTGGCCCATCCAATTCCTTACTGTTGGTTAGTAGGGAATGAGGGGAATGAGGTACCCTATATATATATATGTATATATATATATATACCCCTTAAAGGATTATAGAGGTACCCTATATCGGTATATCCCCCTATATGTATCCTTGAAGGGATTATGTAGGGTACCTTCCCTACTAACCGACAGTGAGACTCGCAGCACGCTGGTTCTCGGAGCCTGCTGGGGCATCTAGGGTTTGGGGTTTAGGGTTGATATTATAGATTTATAGCTCTTATGAGGTTTAGAGGGTTCAGAGGGTTCAGAGGGTTTAGGGTTTAGGAGGCCCAAGTGGGGATTTGAGTGTGGTTTCCACAATGTCCTGGAGGCCCTAACATGACAAGGGCTCGGGGCTGTCTTGTTGTCGGTGTTTAGGGCTTAGGTTTAGGGACTTTGCCCTGGATCGGTTTCGGTGGTTGATGTTCGAGCATGTCTACTTAGGCAGCTCATGCAGAGTTGGACCAACCTAGCCACAGATTGAGGCTTCAAGATTCAGCCTGAGCCTATATATAAATCCACCTCAAGATGCAAAACTACATTCCTGCCGGCACAACTCCAGCCTCCGCTGCTGAGGTCTACGCATGGCTCAACTCTGCATACGGGCGCCAGAGCAACATTGGGCGGCTCTTCCTCCGGCTGAAAGAGCGGCAGTCCGCATCTCAACAGCGGCGGGCTGCAGGGAGACAACAGTTGGCCATCACCCCGCCAGAACGGTCCTTATCAAGACAGGGGTTTAGGGTTTAGGGTTTAGGGTTTAGGGTTTAGGGTTTAGGGGTTTCCGATTATTTCATCGTTGCTCGGGTTCTAGACTGATTCGCAGCTGGCTCACCCAGGTACGAGCAGGAGCATCGCCCACACAAGGTCGGGAACCCCTCCTTTCCAGGCTTCGGTTCAGGCTACAGGCTGGCACGTGGGAGGCTTTGGGGTTCCAGGATTTCGGACTTTGAGGGTACCGGTTCTGAGGGTTTTTTCACCAGGCAGTGTGTCAACAATACAAGCTTAGAGCGTATGGCCCGCAAACCCGAAAATCGCGCTCTCGCATAGGCGCGGGCGAGCCCGCACTCGCCGTTCTTGAAACTGCCATCGCGGGTTTGGCTTGTGGACTCCCGAAATGCGTAACTGTCGTTGCTTTTCGACATTTGGGTTCGCAAACTGTGAGACTGTCATGGCTTTCGGACTTTTGGGTTCGCCAAATGCAAAAGCCCTCGTCGCTCTTGGACGACTCACATGGTCTCTCACTGTTTGGGGTCTACGCTGGCACAGTTGTGTTAAGCTGGTTTCGGCTCAGGCTTCTTGGCTATTGGTTTATGACTTAAGTTTCCAGGATGGGCTATTGGGCCCTAGAACCTCTTAAACAGGCCCTTGTAGGGTTGACTATGGGGACTTTAGGGCCTCGTAGCCCATCCTGGTTTACTTGTTGGAGGGCATGTGGGCCGTGTAAGAGGACCATCCTTCTACCGAACTTCAATCCTTGAAAGCTTGGTCCCTGCACAGGTGGACATTGCGACGAACCCAAAGGTGCCAGCACCGGTGGGTGGGGGGATGGGGAACGAGATTGCGGCTGGTTGGGTCGCGGTTTTCAAGGGTTCGGGTCTTCCCTGGTGGCGTTTGCGGATCTTTGAGATGCTCTGGAGAAGCGACTCTTGCAAACCTCCGCAAGCCAAAAGCCTCTTGCGACCTCAGGCCCTGCTTGAGAGGATGGTTCAGTGCTAGCTGCTGAAAGTTTCGGGCGCAGAGTTTTTGGTCTTCAGGGCCCCTAGCTATTCTCCCTAAGAACGCCGGAAACGCATAAGCAGGCCCTACACAGTAAACCCTATAACCCTAAACCCTAAACCTCAAACCCTAAACCGCATAAACCCATAAGCCCTAAACCCAGCTCTAACACTAACCAACCCTAAACCTGGTACTGTGACCGCTGGAGCCTGGTCCCAGATCTTGACCTCGGTGATGCTGGCGTGCCAGGTGCTGTGGGGGAGTGGGTTTAGGGTTTAGGATTTAGGGTTTAGGGTTTAGGGTTTAGGTACGCGCACTCAAGCAGGACAGTCCAAAGTCTGTGATCCGCCTGCAGGGTTTAGGGTTTGGGGTGACGATCCTTTACTCTGCCAAGTTCGTCGGTTCAGGCTTCACAGGCTATTGACTTGGGTTACATGTAGACGTGGTTTTTGTTTGCACGGCAAGATGTGTCCCCTCCACTGTATACGCACAGAAGCGCATCACGAATACGTTCGTGACAGATGCTCCACCCTCCTGCCCGGAAACCCTATCTGGGTAGTTCTCTAAATTAGGGTCCCTTCTTGGGGATCCCTTTTTGAGTGCCGCCTTATATTGGGTACCCAAAAAGGGACCCTACTTTCGAGAACTACCCATATGCCTTCCCCTAAACCCTAAACCCTAAACCCTAAACCCTAAACCCTAAACCCTAAACCCTAAACCCTAAACCCTAAACCCTAAACCCTAAACCCTAAACCCTAAACCCGAAACCCTAAACCCTAAACCCTAAACCCTAAACCCTACTCAGAGAGTGCAAGAGGTGTTGTTGCTTCGGGCGGCGGCCCACAATGACATCTGCATCCACCAGGCCAGCCAGCCGGCCTCGGGGCTTCACAGTCACGGGTTTCCCCGCTACCCTCCCTATTCGGGTTTAGGGTTTAGGGTTTAGGGTTTAGGGTTTAGGGTTTAGGGTTTAGGGTTTAGGGTTTAGGGTTTAGGGTTTAGGGTTTAGGGTTTAGGGTTTAGGGTTTAGGGGTACTACCCCCCTCTATACTACCCATGATTCAGGCTTTCAGGCTTTCAGGTCTCGGGGTCCTTTTTTGCCTTGGGTTCAGTTTGGGATGTTACCCCTTATACTAACAGTCCTGAGTAGGAATCATAGTACCCCTTCTGAGAATTCCTATAAGGGACTAGTCGTATAAGGGCCATCCCAAGGTTCAGATCTATTTTTGTGTTGCTCGGGTTTCTAAGCTTCCACTGCCGTGACTCTACGTCCTGTAGGCCCAAACTGGTTGATAAAGTGATCCTAAGCCCTCAGCCAGGATGAGGGAAGCCCTAAGCCCTAAGCCCTAAGCCCTAAACCCTAAACCCTAAACCTATGAACCCTAACCCTATGAACCCTAGAAAACCCTCCGTGAGGCCTTCCGCGCCGCGCAGTGCCGGGCTGAAACAGATGCCCTCGAGGTGCCACCCGAGAACCCAGGGACGGGCTTAGGGTTTAGGGTTTAGGGTTTAGGGTTTAGGGCTTAGGGTTATTTAGGGTTATTTAGGGTTATTTAGGGTTATTCAGGGTTTTTTAGGGTTGTTTAGGGTTTTTTGGGGTTATTTAGGGTTATTTAGGGTTACTTAGGGTTATTTAGGGTTCTTTAGGGTTCTTGGCATCTTTGGAGCCCCAGTCTACAAACACTTCCATTCTCCTTACAGCGCCTTACAGCCCCCTATGAGCCGTAAACCTCCCCCCCGGATCCTTTTGAGCCCTTTTTGTGGAAGGCTGCCAAAGCTCGGGCGGCCAGTTTCCGGCACTGGACGAAGCAGCATCTTGTCTGGATGTACCTAATGCCCAAATACCCCATGATGAATACCCGAAGAATGCCGCAAGAATACTTGAAGAATCTCCCAACATCCCAATACCCTAATACCCGCTCCCGCCCCAAGAAAAGCGTCCACGAAGCCTGGAGGCATACCTCGAGGGGTCGGTCCGCATAGATTGCCATCATGGCGGTAGGTAGTTTATCCCCCAATACCATATTGAAGAGGGTCTTTGGAGGTACCCTAAGCCCTCAACTCGAGACAAGCCTAAATCTTCTGAGGTCGAGAAAAGGCTAAATCGTCTAAGCTCCAAAACCCTAAGCCCCATACCAGCTACAAAAGAAGCTTACGGCCTACCTTCTCAGGAAAGCTACAGTGCGGGTGCGGGTCTCGGCGGGCCGACAAAGGGCAGCGGGCTTTCTTTTTTCTGGGTTTCAAGGGTCTACAGGGCTTGCAGAGGTTTAGGGCCTTTGGGTTCAGGCGCTGAGGGCGATTGGCGAGGTTTGGTCTGAGATCTCGCTGCATCATCTACAGAAGGTCTACAGCCTGATGCGGCCCAACCTCATCTGGCAAGCTGAGTCGTGCCTTCTGTCCCTTCTTGAGGTTTCTACACAGCCCTGCCCGTAAGTCCGAGTCTAGGACTTTTGAGTAAGGGTTCGGGTGGGGATGAGGACTTGAGGCAAAGGCCAAGGCGGATACTGGGTTTCTTTTCTCTTCTCTGGTTCGAGCCCCTTGTTGAGGGCAAGAGGGTTTCCACGACACATGGGGGGTCACACGAAAGCTGGAGATTGAGTCGCAGCCGAGGCTGCTGCCGCTGGCAATGCGCTTCTAGAGGCCGGGGTAGAGCATACTGAAGAAGGGATCTGAAGAAGTCCGGCTGTGATTGCTCCGGCTGATGCAAGTCCTTTTGAGCTGGGTGAACCATGACAAGCACATGCCAAGCCGGACCTGCGCGTCTACATACTCGCTTGTCCTCTCCTGCTCCTCTGCCTCAAGATGCTCCCCTCTGCCTCCCCCCAATTCTGCGTTTAGGCTTTGGGGTGGGCGGTGGTGCAAACCTGGAGGAGGGTCCTACCTTTGAGGACCCCTGAAAAGTCACGAGCAGCTTCCTATGGCGTGCAAGAGACCATGGCAGGCCTTCCGTGCGCGGCATGGCGAGCAGGCATTCACGAAGTCTTCGCTTTTGATTGCTTTTTCCATGAACGGGGCCGTTTGCATTTTGGCGGCTTCGGAGTCAGGGTTTGGGTTTGAAGGGGTTTCCCCAAGGAACCTCAGGCACCCAGTTGTTTCCAAAGCCCCCGCATAGGGTTTAGGGTTGAGGGTTGAGGGTTGAGGGTTGAGGGTTTAGTGTTTAGGGTTTAGGGTTTAGGGTCCATAGAACCTTGAGCCACTATGAGCCCTGAAGCCCCGAAACCTAGACCCCTAGCCCAAAAACCCTTCATTCAACCAGAAGCACCCTAGACCTTAACCCTCCAAACAATCCTAAACCCTAAACCCTAAACCCTATGTGGGCTTTGGAACCACTGGGTGCCTGAAGTTGCTGATGGCTGAACAGCTGAAAAGCCCTCTGCCCGCCAGGCCATGCGCCTCCCTGGCCAGCATCCCGTGTGGATCCGCTTCAGTCACGGACACAGCTGGGCAGTGTCCGAAGAGAATGAAGAGTTTTTCACATAGCATAGCCTCATCCCAATTAAGAAAGGCAGGGCGCCGCCAAAAACAAGACCATGGCAATGTTTGATTCTCGTTTAAAAGCAATTGGAATCACCGATCCAAGCTGCAGCTCCGCAAGCAAAACAAGAAGCCTGCAGACAGATTGTTGAACCCCCCCCGAAAAATGTTCTTCAAATGTGGTGGTATTTCCGCATACGAAAACCCCTGGCATGGAAAGTAGTCTTGCAGCCGGATTTTCGACGAAAAAGACTCTTTAAATGTGGAGGTATGAATTAAACAGATGCTCGGATTAATTGAGATACAAGAAATCAAAAGGTGTTAGAAAAGTAGGTCAGAGAGAAAATCAATGGAAGAGGCAATCGCGAACACTTTGAACGATTAGAAAACCAGATGGGAGAAACACACAAGATCGAGAATTACAGATACACAGCAAACAAGAGCAATGGGTCAAGAGTGTAGAGTTTAGGCTCCTTATGCATGAACAGGTGATGTTTTAGGCTTCAGGATTAAGGGTTTAGGCTCCTATGAGAACCCATGTGGGAGCTCGATGCCTGCATTCCTAGAAACTGCCCACAAAGCTGACAAGGCTTCGCCGCATCGACTGAGGCCCACCACTCCCATGGTGGTTTCGGGTTTTTTTGTCCGGGCTTCCTGGGGAGTTCAGGGCTTTCAGGTTTTCGGGTTTCGGGTGCGGGGGTTAAGGTTCTTTGTTGAAGAGGGTTAAGGTTGAAGTTCTGAATCTTTGATGCACACAACTCAACTCAGAGGGGGTAAGTCATAGGGCGCTTTCAGTTTGAGTGTCGGCTTGTCTGCGGCACTGGCTTCACTCAGACGCAAAGAAACTGCAAGCGACGTGCATGGCGCTACTGTTGAGTTCGCGTCTCTCTGCGCATGACATACAACTCAGCCGGCTGTGGGCCATGAGGGTCCCGTGAGACCCCAACTCCCTCGGCCTAAGACTGCGCTCTAATCCCCTAGCTCCCCAAACCTCAACCTGTCTGGGGTTGATTTGGAATGAGTGTTAAGGTGCTACAAGCCCTAATCTGTTTAGAAGCCTATCTAACCCATGGAATGTGTTTATAACGCGCCTCTATCCACCCATGCTATCCTAAACCATACTGTAGACCCCTACATGAAGTAGGGTTTCACATTGCTGTTATTAGTGAGTGTAGATGCGGTTCCTTGTAAGAACTGGTGTGTGTTTGTGTGGGATGTCCTATCGGGGATACGAGCACGAAAGAAACCCGACCCTACATCATAGCCCCCCTTAAACCCTAAACCCTAAACCCTAAACCCTAAACCCTAAACCCTAAACCCTAAACCCTAAACCCTAAACCCTAAACCCTAAACCCTAAACCCTAAACCCTAAACCCTAAACCCTAAACCCTAACCCTACCCTAAACCCCCCCCACCCCCCCCCCCCCCCCCCCAACACCTAATGGCCCATCAGGCAGCCGTCCGTACATCCGCCTCCGCCACGCATGGCTGCAGAGAGCTCGCCACACCCCAGGTGGAGATGCCCTAGTTTAGGGTTTAGGGTTTAGGGTTTAGGGTTTTAGGGTTTAGGTTTTAGGGTTCAGGGTTTAGGGTTTAGGGTTTATTTAGGATTTAGGGTTTAGCCTGGAAGGCTTTGAAAAAGTTTCTGTGATTCATAAGGATTTCAAGAGTTTGGGTTTTGGAACTTGCGTGCTCTGCAGGTTTTCAAGGCCTTTTGGGCAAGGGATCCCTGTCAGCTTAGAGTTCGGAGGTTTCGGGGCTCTTGGATCGTTTTTTTTGCCGGATTCTGATGGCGCATCTCCAATATAGTAGATTGAGGATCAAGTGTGTATACGGTTGAGGTACATGGACCCGTATCCTTAAGGGTTTCGAATCTCGGGGGTGGGGGCGGGTCACCGAATCTTCCTGGAACTTGTCGGGTTTATGGTGTTTCGCAGGACTTCTGCCTCAGGCAGGTTCGCAGCAGCCTCGAACTTGACACTGTTGCAGCGCCTTTGTGTCAGTAAAGTCTGTGAAAACCGACTGCATCTGCAAAGCACCTTAATAGAGTCTATCTGGGCTTTGAATAGAGTTTGATACAACAGGTCAGACATAGAATTTTCCTTGCAAGGTAAATGCTATGAAGCTTCGGTTGTCTTTCTGGCCCATTCCGGTACTGTAAGTTCGATTTAAGCTAATGTGCTTGATGGCTTTTCGTGTGTGAGTGTGTGTCTGCGCATGCCGCCGCTGAAGTTTACAGGTGTAGATGTGGCAAGGCTCGTGCTCAAGGGGGTTCGCAAGCCTTCGTTTTCTCAATTCAGAAAAAGGTGCGTCGAACGCCGTCGAACAGATTCTGGCTTTAGGGTTCGCGCACAAGTCGAACCACCGTGCACATCTTGCGGCGAACTCTGAAATCAGGCACGGTTCGCAGGGGCTCGTGTGGCCAGAGTTTACCGCCATTCCTGAATCATAAACCATCTCTTTCGATGCCTTGCAGCCCCTTCTTACTCTACGACGCATGCACATGAACCCTAAATCCCGAACCCTCCACAGATTCCTGCCAGGAAGCTCGCTACGGAATCTCCGTTTGGGGGCATGTGCAGCTGGAGTGGAGAGGCGACGAGGTGCTGGGACACTGATGCTGGGTTTAGGGCTTGAGGCGCACTGTTCATGGGGTGTTGTGGTTCCTCATCTGCTTTGGGACTTGAACACCCTAGAATTCCCCAGCATTTCTGCCTACAAACGTAGGGCGCTTGAAGTCTGATGTCCATGTACCTCAGTGGGGTATCTCCGGGAGTTCTCCTATAGTATAATATAGTATAGCAACTTTGGGGCTCAAGTATAATACACCCTTGGCCATTGAGGCACGTGGACCCTTAGGGTACATGACATACTGAGACACACAACACGTAGCTCAAAAGAACATGTCCCCCTCACGGAGGAGAAGTTCAACCCTGGAGATGTGCTTGCCGGGAGCTTGGTGGCAGCTGCTTCTCTCCTCCGGAGGTTCTTCTTTTCCCAGAAGATGCCTAAGCCCCCAGGTGGTCTAGGAGTTTAGAATTCAGGTGCCTATTGCAGATCTCAGCATTTATTGCTTGAAGATCGCCGGGCTCTACGCATGAGGAGGAGGAAGCTGGCAAGCTACAAGAAGTTAGTCACAAGAGGTTTGCAGGTGTTGCGTAAGGACAGTGCTTCATCCCCCCAAGGAATTTATTGCTTGCGGAGGGGAACATGAATCTCATGAGTTGACGTAATGGTCAGTTTGCGAGCGCAATACCTGCAACAATACACGTGGTTGGGTGTCTGCTTGTGGCGCTGTACTCCCTAAACCGCCCAAACCCAACATTTATGACCCCGACGCTCCTTTGAACCACCGGCCCCCGCAAAGACCCCCACCCTTCAATGCCTGCCCGTACATCCGGTTTGCTGGCTCGGCAGGGCAAGCACCTCCGCTCCTCGCGTAGTTCAAGAAGAAAGCCTTAGAAGCCTTCAAAGCCATGGGCCGAGTTCGCACAAAGACCGTGAAGAAGGCTTCACATTGGGTGGAGCGCATAGGGCCATGTAGCTCGTCTAGGGGTTACAGAGATTGAAGAAGAGGTTTAGGTTCTCGGGCTCGTGGGCCTTCAGAGTGTGGGTGCGCTGCACTCGCACCGATCTGCGGATCGGGAACCCTAAACCCCAAGCCCCAAGCCCTAAGCCCTAAACCCTATCCTTAAACCCCATCCTTCAACCCCAACCTTCAACCCTAACCCTAAACCCTCAACCCTATTAAACCCTAACCTTAAACCCTGACCCTAAACTCTCTACCCTCTAAACCCTACGGTGTGCCTCCTTGGCAGGCTGCCCGCGTCATCGTGGAGAAGTACTACAGCAAGCTGACCCTCGACTTCCAGGTGCCTTGAGTGCAAAGCGCCCTTAAACACTCAAGCCTACTTACTACGCCTAGGAATCGGAGGTCTCCAATAGTTACAGTAGTAGGGTAGCCTTGAGCTCCTTTTCTTGGATTCTGGTGCAGTATCGGATTTAGCGCTATGGGGCTTAGGGTTTTGTGAGGAGGTTCAGAATAGACTGCTTAGAGAGAACCTCTACGATCTCTGATTATTTTACACAGACTAAACAGAACCTGATTCCTAACCCCTAGACCCCAAACCCCGACCCAGGGTTGCAAGCGCTTTGTTGAGAAGGGTTTAGGGCGTTTGGCCGCTGTCACTCGAGGCAGACTTGAACGCCAAAACTTATGCTTGGGTTGCGCCCCCACAATGGGTTCAGTGGTTAATTCGGGTTTGGTACATGCTTTAAGTTGGGCCCCTAGAACTGAACGAATGACCTTCCCCCTAAACCCTAAACTCTCAACCCTAAACCCTAAACCCCTCCCCGCACCCCAGCCTCAGGCCCCTTACATATTCCCCTTTTTAGGGCTGAGGTTCCCAAAAAAAGGCCCTCTAAACCAAAAGGGCACAATTTTGTTCCTAGGCCTAGGCTACTGTTGGAATCAGCCCTTCTTCCAAGGTCAACAAGAAGATTACCGAGGCTCGGGGGGGCAGTCTGGGCTTTCAGGGGCTTCGCGGTGTGCATGCCACCTGGGGTCTTGATGACTTTAGGGCCTTGGGTTTAGGGCTTGAATGTTCAAAGAGCTCCGGGGACACTACGCTCTCAATAGCCCTTCTACCTTGGTCTCGTTCCTGCATGCTGTCTGCCTCTGAGATCCTTGAAGAACTTCATGCCCCCAAGGCCGATCGACTCTAGATCACACCTTGGAAGTGTTAGCCCACTAACACCATGAAGGATATCTGGTATAAGCTTCATGTCATCCTCCTCGCCAGGAGGTGGCCACCATTCCATCCAAGCGCCTCCGTAACAAGATCGCCGGCTTCACCACCCACCTCATGAAGCGAATCCAGAAGGCATGGTTTAGGGGTTAGGGGTTAGGGGTTAGGGGTTTAGGTTTTAGGGTTTAGGGTTTAGGATTTAGGGCTTCTGCTTGCTTTACTGTAGGGGCTGATGTTACGGAGGAGTTCTTTCTTCATCTCGAGTGGTAGTTTGTAAAGGATCGCCAGAGTTCATGTAAGAAATAGCCATCATCATGGTCAATGGCCGCTTCGTTTCAGCACAAGCTTTTTAGAACAGGAGTTGCGATCGCACAAATGTGTATTGATTCACGTGGAGCACTCCGGGGTGGCCGAGCTCGTTTCTTCCCTTTGATAGAGTCGGAGGGATAGAAGTATGTCATAGGCACGGAGAAGCCCAATCTATAAGGACCCGACTGTCACCCACCTACAGGAAGTATGCGGCGCTCCGAAATAAGCCCCCAGAAGCCGTCATACTCAACACTCATTTAGCCCAAGGTCCGAAAAACTCCTGCTACAGCCCCGAATCCTAGACCCCGCACTTCGAGAAACCGTGACTGTACCTAAACTACCCTAAGCCCTGCAACTAAGCCATAAACCCATAAAACCCTACACAGCATTGCAAACTCCTAAGCCCCAACTCCGCCCTTCTCCAGGGACCTGTTCGTGGCATCTCGCTGAAGCTTCAGGAGGAGGACTCGGAGGGGCTCTTCACGGGTGTGATGTTGCGAGCCTCACCGGAATTGGGCCTTAAGGCCCTAAGGGCCCTTTAAGGTCCGTGTACCTATGTAGTTACATACTTGGGCCTTTGAAAGGGGTTCCTATGTAGTAGCTTTTCAGGCCCAAGTGTATACTTTTTCAGAGGTGCATGGGCCCTTGGGGTTGGAGTTTGGGGTCGAGTCACAACCCCTTCTCTTCGCTTTCATCAAGCTAGGGTGCCTGTGGGCATCGTGACCGTGGATGAGGAACTCGCCTAAACAAAGGAAAAGAGAAGCTCCTCCCTCTGTTCCTCGGCGATTCGGGGGGGCCGTCTGAACCCTCTACAGGCCCTCGATTTCATCATGTTTGCTCGGTGCGCATGCAACTCCAAACCCTCTAACTCTAGATAGAAACAGGACGCTGCAGAGCCGCCAGCCGCAACCACCTATAAGCTCAAACTCTAAACGACTCTAGGCCCTAATCCCCCGGCTCCTGCTCTCCAACTGGGCGCTGAATCCATGAGGGAAAGCCAGCGTTGATGTTCTGTGAACATCTGCGACATTGCCGTTTCAGGTTTCGGGCTCGAACTTCAGGGTTTCGTACTCATGAAAAGAATGACATCTTCAAGTCTTCAAGTCCTGGTTTATGGCAACCAGAAAAATGGGTAGGTTCGCCCTCTCGACCTGCAATTTCTGGGTACATGCCTGAAGAAGCTTTAGTCTTTCTGGCTTTCGCGACCATACATGAAGCCCAGACACCGCAATCCTTTGAAACTTAGTCTGCGGATCTGAAACATCCGGTTCTGTCGACTTCCATCCCATACCCTAGTAAGCCCTACTAAACCCCAAACCCGATCAATAAACCAAGTCCCACCACGATGGGTGGCAGTGCCTTTATTCATTCCCTTTGCTCGGAGTTGGTGCCCTTAGACCCCCACCTCCACATCCTCTAGAACAAACTCAGAAATCACCCATCTCATCCCACAATCCTCAACTTGTCCCCTTACATCCCTAAACCCTGAGTCCCCTCCAATACCCGTATATACACGCACCTATATTGCAACAAGATACTCTGGAATGAATCTAGTGGGAAATGACCCTGAATTCGGCTTGATCATTCCTAAATAGCCTTCATTATGGGCGGGGGGGGGGGTAGTGTAGAGGGGGGTAGCAGGGGGGAACCCATGATGGTGGCAACCCTAAACCCTAATAAACCCTAATGAACCCTAATAAACCCTAATAATAAACTCTAATAAACCCTAATAAACCCTAATCAACCCTAATAAACCCTAATGAACCCTAATAAACCCTAATAAACCCTAATAAACCCTACAAACCCTAATAAGCCCTAAACCCGGGAACCCATGATGGTGCCTCCCTGCAAGTGCGCAGGAGAGGGAGCGACGCATGGAGTTCGTGCCTGACCGGTCAGAGGCACGAGCCGGCCGTTTAGGGTTTGGGGTTTAGGGTTTAGGGTTTAGGGTTTAGGGTTGAAGGTTTAGGGTTTAGGGTTTAGGGTTTAGGGCTGAGGGTGTAGGGTTTAGAGTTGAGGGTTTGCTAGAGTTGGGGGTTTATGGTCGTGGGTGTCTAGGGCTTAGGGCGATTTGATTCGGGTGTCTGTCAGTGCTGCAAATTTTGGGGGGTTTAGGAAGTCGGATTCAGGGTTTAGAAGGGTTTATCGACCCTACAATCATGCCACAGCTTCCAAAAATGCCAAAGCCAGCCTTAAACCCTCAAGAGTTTGCGTTGGGTTCAGAGGCACGGCTGGAATCCCTAAACCTTTACCCAGCCGCCTAAGCTTGGAGCATGGTCCAAAGGCTGGGGTAGAGTTGCCGGAGGGAGCTGTGTAGGAAACCTGCAGGAAAGACGCCACTACAAGATCAGAGCCGGTGCCCACTTTTACACTCGGACCCGGAGTAGGTCCTTGTTTCCCTTTTTTCAGGGCTGGGGTTCCCTTTATCGTCCCTTTAAAGCCCAAAAAGGTTACCCTTTTTTTATTCCTAGGCTTACTCCTGGGTCACCCTAAACCCAAAACCCTAAACCCTAAACCCTAAGCCCTCCTGGGTTTAGTACCTGACCATGCCAGGTGGACACCAGCTTCATCCAGGTGGATGGCGACACTAGGGACATGCTGAAGGAGCTTTTGCCTGATGACTTGCGATGTGTCCCCCCTTTATACTGACAGCCCTTCAGAGGGATTCCAATACGGGATTCAACTATCATCCTTATTAAGGTCACAGTCCTTAAAAGGGATTCTAATAGGGGACACTATAATCCTTATTAAGGTGACAGTCCTTAAAAGGGATTCTTATAGGGGATACTAGAATCCTTATTAAGGTGACAGTCCTTAAAAGGGATTATAATTGGGGATACTAGAATCCTTATTAAGGTGACAGTCCTTAAAAGGGATTATAATAGGGGATACTATAATCCTTATTGAGGTGACAGTCCTTAAAAGGGATTATAATAGGGGATACTAGAATCCTTATTAAGGACTGTTAGTGTAAGGCACCCCAAGTTGAGGCCTAAGGAGTTGTTGAGCTGGGTTCGACCAGGGTCTTCGGCTGTCTCATGGTGATGGACTGCAGGGTTTAGGGTTTAGGGTTTGGGGTTTAGGGTTTAGGGTTTAGGGTTTAGGGTGTAGGGTTTAGGGTGTAGGGTTTAGGGTTTAGGGTTTAGGGTTTCCCAGACCATAGGGCCTCAGACCCTAAGCGGGTTTTAACCCCCTAGGAAAGCACAAATCAAGTGAAGGCACCCGCCCCGCTGCGCCCTGACAAGCCGAAGCTTCACGTCCAAGCACCACACACTTACATTCCCCTGTGAATCACGATAAGCCCCTCAACCCTAAACCTCTGAACCCTAAACCCCTAAGCCCCTAAACCCCTAACCCTAAAACCCCAAACCTTTGGAACCCTGAACCCTAAAGCTGGCAACTAAACCTCTCAACCCCAAACCCCGAAACTCCCAAACCCTAAAAACTGCAAAGCTTCAAGCTGGCAAAAGACAAAGGAGATGGAGATGGACCGTCTGCCGAACATCACCGTCTCAAGCACCTCCCTGGTGGGCATGACTATGGGTCTCCTGGCTTAGGGTTTGGGGTTTAGGGCTTAAGGATTAGGGTTTAGGGTTTAGAGTTTTTCGGTTTAGGGCTGAGGGCTTAGGGCTTAGGGGCCTGGGGACGGTCTGAACCAGGGATTTTGGGCGGAGGTTCAGGGTTCTCCTGCAAAAGATCCGGGACATCAGTGCTCCAACTGTCAGTGCCTCCAAGTGACAACGCAACACAGAAGCTAGACCCAACCTGACACCCCAATCCCAAAGCCGCCCAAACTCGGAAGCCTTGAGCCCAAGCATTGAAGCCCCAAAATCCCTCGAAGATCAACGAAAACCTTCACAAAGCAGCCAGCCAACTCCTCGAACTTCATCGTCCCTGAGCTTTGGAACCCTGAACCCTAAACCCTAAACCCTAAACCCTAAACCCTAAACCCTAAACCCTAAACCGCCGAAAGCCGAATTTCCTCTCAAAGGCCGCAGATGAGCGAAATCGGGGATCGCAGGCTACGCGACCGAGCGCGAGAGCAAAAAGCAGCCGCACCCCTCCTTCTTGCGGGCCCTACTCCTATATCCCCCTTGGGAATTATTTTTGTTTTCGTTTATAAAAAGCTCAAGAGGATATTAAAAATAGTATTTTGATTAAGGTTCTAAGGGGAGTATAGACTCCTGAACCACCCAAAAATCTCAAAAATCTCAAAAAGCCCGCAGAACCAGGGCACAGAATGTTGGACAGAAGGTTGAAGGCTGTGTGGTTCAAGGGCATTTGGTTTCGTTCAGGTTCAGGCACCCCAAGGACAGGGACTCGGGAGGGCTTCCGCATTGCAGGGGGTTAGAGCGTCCAGTGAGGGCAGACCCCTCAACCCTTTAAACCACCCTAAACCTTATAGATCCCCCCTAAACCCTAAACCCTAAACCCTAAACCCTAAACCCCTATTTCCCCCTATTTCCCCC